AATTGTTTCGGAAAGCTTTGATACCGAAATTACATCAGGTTTTTGCCGGGAGAATTCTTCACGCACCGCACTTTTTACAATCTCGGTTAAATTCTCTGTTGATTCTTCATATTTACGCTTTAGCGTCACTTATAAAATGGAAAGCCAAAATTGGTCAGCCTCGCAAAACAATATACCAAACAGTTCATCAAATATAAACTTTCCCGCTGTGATAATTTTTTTTACACTTCTAAGTTTATTGCAACAATCAACAGGGTATTATTTGCTCATTACTTACCTTCTCCACCTTTAAGAGTTTCAATCAAATACGCGATTGATTTTGCTGGTCCTAGAGATAAACCAACTTGCATAAGGTTTTCTTCGGTTAGAAGAAGGAATGCTTGACCGGCTACCTCTTGGTCCCTGATGACTTGAATGTGCTTATCATCGATGTCTAGCTCTTCTTTCTTCTCTTGTAAAAAATTTATAACATCGGCTCGCTTCCACTTCTTGATTTCCTCGACGCTTGGAGTGGTTGAAGTAACCTCTCTGTCTTTCGTAGATGGGGAAATTTCGGTGGACTCAACACCCTCCATAAAAACTATTGTCGATAAAAATGAGTTGCTTCACAAAAAATATTCGTAATACGTCCATTTTACCTGCAGACGGTTCCCTTGGGAAAGGCAGTGCTATTTCCTCGGGCTTTTCCATACCCTTCGAAGATGTACCAACATTGATAGTTTGAACGTCCCCCTTGGGAGCTATTTTTTTGCCGAGTGAGTGGGATATCTACAAATAATACTCACAATACATCTACTTACCTGTTGGAGATTTTTTCTTTTTTCTCAGTTTTGGTGGCATCGTTGGGGAAAAGTGTTACGGGGCACAGCATCATTGATTGACGCTTTGATTTGTCACACGCATCTGCTGATCAGACGTTATTTACTCAATAAGCAGACGCATTTTTGCTTGAAAAAGTAAAAGTAAAAGCAGAACTCGTTCGTTGTGATATTCGAGATTTCTATTTTCCGCTCGTTTATTAGAAACGAAGTTGATTATCTGTCCATTCCGTAGGCATGTTTTTAGTAAAGATTTGGCCAAAGTCGTTGGACGATATACTGATGATGTAAAAAATGCTTCAATGGTCATTAGTAGCTACCTTCGAAAAAAAGAATTTATTGTATTTGATCTCACTAGGCCAGAAGATGATCCTCTTGCAATCCGCCTAA